TTTATTGCTTTTTTTACACCTACGAATTCCTGACATGATTTGGTTCCCTTCATTTTCTTTTAGTTTAGGCAATGCTTGATGTGATTGCTATTTTCGATAAGAGCTTGGAGAACAGGGAGCGCGCCAACAAGAACTACCTGATGGTTTCCCAGCTTAAGACCGCAAAGACAACTTTGCAAGAAGTCAACTCCGGGCTGAGCAATGAGTTGATGTTAGTGAAGCAGCAGCAATCCGATGCGCTTGTTGCGTGGAATGTGTCAGCCTGTGAGGAGCTTGAGAAGGATCTAGTGCTCCGAGCAAAAAAGGTCGAAGATCTGGAGGGGGAGCTAAAGTTAATGTCCGCCGCCAAGGAACATCACCAGGTGAATTTTCTTCCTTGGCAAATGTTTCTTTTGACATGGCTTCTCGCATAACTCCCTTTTTCCACTCTTTATAGGCAGAACTGAAGAAGAAAATAGTTGGGGCTCGTGAGGGTTCTGTGGGGGCTCACCTGGCCTCATCAGAGTTTCGTAGTTGGCAGAGAGATCTTCTTACTGGGGTGAAGAAGAGAGCATGTATCGGTATTAGCAAGAAGGTCCGTTCAGACAACCCCGACATAAAGTGGGACACGTCTGAGGTTTAGCAGGTAATGGACAACTACTTTCTATCTCTTGGCACGAACAATAAGCCCTCCAATTCAGAGCCATTTTCGATAGATGATGGTGACCCCTCCGCCGATGAAGCCGAGGTTGACATTGAGGGAGCTGATGATGAGGTGAATGGCTTCCGGTGAGGGTAAGGACGTCGAGGAGGGTGACAGGGGTGACACAACTGCTGATGATGGTAAGGGTGGCGCTTCCGATGAGGGGTCATCGGATGACTCCAGATCTTCGGATGATTCCTTGAGCAAGTCGAACAATGAGTATATTTGGGGCCCAGCTTAGCGCCCCTCGATCTTTCTTTTATTTATTTGATGAACGTAGTTTGTCAAATTAATTATGTTGGTAGATTAGTTGTGTAGGCGTGTTGTGTCTTATGACGCACCTTTTGCTCATTCCACCCTTTGCCTGTATCCGCACTTTGGAGACGTTAGGTTTCTAGATATTTCTTTTATGCTTCTTATGCATTTCTTCCTTGCTTTTCCTTCGTACTAAGGAACATATGTTCTCCTAGTAGTTGTGACTTCTTTTATGCACTGCACATGTACTCTTTCAATGGGTGCTGCTTTTCGCGATCTTGCACAAAGTAGGGCTTTTTCTTGACGGAGGAAGCAAGTCGAGACTCCTCCTGTCTAAGTAGGAACATTCTGAGGGATACTATAGGGGGAGGCGATTATTATGGGGACCCGTAGGATGGGAGCTTGACACTTGGTTATGAAACCCAGTGTAAGCACTAAGGCACCTCCGCTTATTGCGATTAGAGGTTGGTTAGGACGAGTATCTTAAACCATTGGTGTTGGTTCCTACGTCGTTACGCCTGCATCCCTGAAAATGGGGTAACGTGCCGAGGCTTCTCCTCGATGGAGGAAGCGAGTTAGTGTGACTCCTTCTATCTAGGTAGGAATGTTTTGAGGGATACTATGAGGGTATCGCCTCTCATAGGGACCCATAAGATGGGCGCCCAACACCTGGCTCTATAGTCGTGTGCAATCACTAAGGCTTCTTGCGGGTAGGGTTCGGTTAGGATGAATATCCTAAATTGTCGGTGTCGTTCTCCAAAATGTTGCACATGCATCCTTGAAAAGGGGGCAACGTGCTAAGGTTCTCCTCAATGGAGGAAGCGGGTTAGTGTAACCCCTTCCGTTTAAACAGACACACATACGCTATATTATGGTTACTTCCACGATAAATTCATTTCCATTTCTCATATGTAAGTAGAGAGTGTACATTGGGATGTCCTTGGGTCATGCCTTTTCAAGAGCATGCCTCCTCCCCCAAAAATACCTTACATGAAAAGGATGAAAGGAAAGGAAAAAAGGAGAAAGTTGAACAATACTTCTCCTGGTTGCTTGAAAAGATCCTGCTAGGGCGTTGTCGGGTTATGCCTCTTCGACAGCATTATGCCTCGTCGCTACAAAATGTTGTTACCTAGTACCGATCAGTAATCTTTCGTTCCAGACTTGCACATGTAATTCCTCAAGTGCTTTGCATTCCAGGTTTTGCTTACGCGCTTTGCTTCCATGGTGGCGATTTTGAAGGTACTTGGCCATATGACCTATCTGATGATGAAGGGTCCCTCCCACTTAGCTGCTAGCTTATTGTGACTTGGGTTGTGGCGGAACACTTTTCTTAGAACCAAGTCTCCTTCTTCAATGTGGTGACTGGTGAGGCTTCAGCTTTGTATTATAGTACTTGCCGAATTGCTCCTTGTCTTCAACCACCCTTCAGAGCGCATGGATCCTTCTCTCATCTAGCATGTCCAATTCATGAGCTAGGGCACCATTGTTGGTTTCTTCGTTGAACTCTCAGATACGCAGTGTGGAGCACTACTTTAGTCGAGGTCACTGCTTCTACACCAAAAGTTAGGGCGAAGGGGGTCTCTCCTGTGGAATTTTTTGGCATGGTGCGTAGCGCCCAGAGGACATGAGGGAGCTCGTCTACCTAATTTCCGTTTTGCGCTTGGAGGCGCTTCTTTAGTCCCTGGAGCATGAGTTTGTTTGTCGCCTCCGCCTGCCCGTTCGCTTCTGGGTATGCCACCGATGAAAGCTTCGGCTGGATGTTGTAACCTCGCTAGAAGTCGGAGAAGGCAGTGCAATCAAATTGCTTGCCATGGTCAGTGATGATAGAATTTGGGATGCCAAATCGAGAGAGTATTTTGTTGAAGACAACTGGATGGAAAGTTAACGGTTTGACTATTATTTTGCTTTTCGAAAGATTTGACTATTATTTTGTTTAAAATGAAAGGTTTGACTATTATATTGGGGTAAATTGCAAGGTTAATCACTAAAAGTGATAAAATATTCACGTTTTGTCACTAAAAGAATTTTACTCCATTCGTGGTCACTGAAAGTGATTAACATTTCACGATTGGTCACTCTCCGTTAGTCTCCACTAACACCGTTAGTGATTTGCTGACGTAGCAATCAGAAATGTTGATTCATCCAATTTTAATCTGCCACGTCATTAAACCCGACCCGCCAATTCAATTTTATCCGTCAGATTCCCCCAAAACATGACCCGACCCTCTTATTAACCGCCCAATCTAAAACTTCATTGGCCCAAATGAAAACCCCATTCCAACCCACCCTCCCATGTCCCTTCTTCTCCGCCGCCATCGACCTCTAATCCCCGCCGTCGCCATCAATCATCGCAATGGGATTCAACAACACCAGCGCCAACCCCATCTTTGTCAAGCCTTCAAGAATAGCATCCCAACCCGTCAATAACAGAGGTGACTAAGAGCGAAAGCTACGAAAGAAGGCGAAGTCTCTGAACAAGAGGCTGGCAAGAGATACAACGGAGGAGATGAGCGGGAAGGAAGCGCTGGAAAGGGTTTGCGAGAATTTGGCCAGGAAAGTTTCGGCGGGCGCCGCGAAGATGAACTCGATGAGGAGAGAGATGGAGGAAAATAGGAAGATGGTGGAGGTGCTCAGTGAAGAGAGAGTCCACGAGAAGGGAATTGAGGAGCATTGGGATATTGGGTTGGGAGGGAACGAGGAGGAAAAAGGGAACGACGGTGAAGCTCCTCCAACACCCCTGGCAGTGATGGGTGCTTTCCAAGTGGTTGCTGAGGATTTGCCTGGTAAATGTAAGAAGCTGATTATCGGCGGTGACAAGTGGTGGTGGGATGACGTTGGTCGAGACTGCTAGGACAGGGGACTCGCTGGTGGCAATGGGGTTGGGACGATTGAGAATCCACAACTACGGCGAGGAATCAAAGGTTTCGGGTTGGGTTAGGGGTTGAAATTGTAAAATATTATTTTCATTTTTAATTGCCACATCACTCATTTAACGATCAACTCTTAAACTTGACTGTCACATCTACTAAACTTAACGGAGACTAACAGAGAGTGACCAAACGTGAACCGTTTAACCACTTTTAGTGATCACGAATGGAATAAAATACTTTTAATGATCAAACTTGAATTTTTTAATACTTTCAGTGACCAACCTTAGAATCCCCAAAACACCACCCTAGAGTAGAAGGGGAATAAGAGAACTCTATCTTCGCTGCATGCTCTTCTTCACAAGAGGAGAAATCTCTATTATCTTGACTTTGAAGAAGGGAAAGCTGCAAAATTGAAGCTGAGAAAATGGAAGGAATCAAGGAATGATCGATTGACGGGGGTCGTCTATGTGGGGAATCGGAAGAAACGATGGCGAACAACAAAACGAGAGAGATGAGAGGATGCGGCCTTCGTATGGCGAACAATAAAGAGAGAGATTGGGTATGACCTAATTTTGATGTTTTAAATTAGGGCGATAATTATAACATAGAGCATGAAAGTAAATTTAATATAATTAGGACGACGAATAAGGAGTTTTAGAGCGACGAATAACAATCGCCTTATTATATTGTATGTAACCATAAAAATAAGGGTAAATACAATTTAATATCCAAACCTTTCATTTTAAACAATATAATAGCCAAACCATTTCGAAAACAATCTAATATCCAAATCGTCAACTTTTCGTCAGTTTGACCGTTGGTTGACACTTCAAAAAAGCTTTGTTTAGGGGAAATTGTCACAATACAACTTTGTTTTCTTGTTTTGGCATTGCAGATGACTGAATATTCAGATATTCTATACCATCATGGTGGAGTCATGGACTTCTCGGGTTTGGAACCACGATATGTTGGTGGTTTTTCAGAGAAGATATCGATGGATATTGATGAAACGTCGTATTTTGAACTTTTTTGAAGTGTCAACTAACGGTCAAACGAACGAAAAGTTGACGATTTGGGTATTAGATTGTTTTCGAAAAGGTTTGGCTATTATATTGTTTAAAATAAAATGTTTGGATATTAAATTGTATTTAGGAAACGAACTCGAGGACACTCTTGGCAAAACGCGAAAATGACCGAATCATCTATATAAGGCAAACGTTGCCGTAATGCCGAGAGATAAAAACCCATAACCCTAGTTCACTACTGTAGAGAGTAGAGAGCTAGCAGCCAGCCACCACCTCTCGCCCATTTATACTCTACTCACCCCCGCTCCCTTCTCATTCTGCTAAACCCTAGCGGCCTCTTTTCCTCTATCCTTCTCCCCTTATTCCACCGCCGTTAATCCTCATCTGCCAGTGAGTTCTCAGTTACTCCCATATTCCTCGTCACATGAACACCTATATTATTGATTTTGTGATTGTTAACTGGGACTTATGTTGATTTTCTCTCTGGATGATTAGGTAGCAAGAAAGACCTGGTGAAATCCTGCGGAATCATGTCCGACGACGAGAGGGAGGAGAAGGAGTTGGATCTCACTTCTCCTGAAGTTGTGACTAAATACAAAAACGCTGCCGAGATCGTCAACAGTATGGCCTCTTTCTCCATTCTCCACTTTGCTGTTTCGGTTTTGTCTATATGCAATGTGTAAATGGGGAAGCAATCCTGTGTAAAATCCGTGCGACATGGGGGAATGGGGCTGCTGAAGTTACGAGTTGGCTATGTTTATTTCAAGTTTCATTCACCTGCTCCGTTCTATTTATATCATCGTAACTGTTTGTATGTTATCTGAACTTTCTTCAGAGGCCTTGCAGTTGGTGGTAAAAGAATGTAAACCCAAGGCAAAGATTGTTGACCTATGTGAGAAAGGAGATTCTTTTATCAGGGAGTAAGTTCTGTTTGTATATACTTGGATCACACTGGTTAGTTTATGTTTGACTGTTTTTAACTCGTGTTTCTTGTATTAGTTTTGATCATTCTCTCATTGATTTGTAATTGTAGACAAACTGGTAACATGTACAAGAATGTGAAGAAGAAGATTGAAAGGGGAGTGGCATTTCCTACTTGTGTTTCTGTAAACAATATTGTGTGCCATTTATCTCCTCTTGCCAGTGATGAGAGAGTTTTGGAAGAAGGTGATATTGTGAAAATGTAAGCTCTCGGTGTTTCTTATTTTATTGTTGTCCTCTGATGATTTAACTACTTGTTCAACCTAACTGTATTTTGGGCATGCAGTGATATGGGTTGTCACATAGATGGATTTATTGCCGTGGTTGCACATACTCATGTTATTAAAGATGGAGCAATTACTGGTCGAGCTGCTGATGTACTTGCAGCTGCCAATACTGCAGCTGAAGTTGCTTTGAGGCTTGTGAGGCCTGGGAAAAAGGTAAATTTTCTAGACTGTAGTATTTACCTATTTCTCGTATTGTTTCTCTTCAACATTCAGTTTGTTATGTTCTGTCATTTCCATTTAGTTGGTTCTTTATCAGATTCATTGATAAGAAATCGAGAGTCTCTGCTTGACTGATATCATGTCTACTATACAGAGTTTTGTTGAAATGTTACCTCACATTTTTCACCGCAATCACTGCTTGCATTATTCTTGAGCCTTGTGTACCTTTTGCTCGAGTTTTTATCATAGTATTGCTACAGTGACCAGTATGTAGTGAAATTTATTTCATCAGCTATTGATAAGGGGTAAAGTATGAGACATTTAGATAGATAGAATTAGCCTATTCAGGGAACTAGTCCTAGGTGGAAGTCATAGCTATTTGCTGTTAAGGTGATCAGTTGCTTCTGGTATCCACTTTTTCCCGTTGCCAACATTGTGTATAGTACCTGTACCACCATGACTGCTGCATTTGATTGTCTCAAGATCTCTTCTGCTGTGTTACTGTCTTATTTTGTTGAAGTTTTGCCTTTGCCTGGAGATAACAGTCTATGTCTTGTGCTACTGATTATTATTTTTCGTATCCTAGTTCTTTTGTTTTCAGCTGTCTTTTTCTGGTTCGATTATCTCTGAATGATGAAGCAATCAATGGACTAAGGACTTGTGTCCAATGAAGTCCTTATGTCATAGTTACCCTGACAGAGGATCTTCCACTTGTCCTTTTGATTTTATCAATTCCCTTTAATATTCTCAGCATTGTTACAGTTGCATCCAATATCAAACCATAATGTTCCTGATATTGTAGCCATCCAATTGATGACAATCTGCTCGCTTCTTTATTTTCATTCATTGTGTCCTTATGATGAATAATAATGAAAAGCTATGGATTATTGTCCAAATGAGGCTTTTTTTTGTCATAGTTACTCTGACGGGGCAGTTGTATGTCAATGATGTTTGTTATTGTGGTAATTGTACTATTGGAGTGGTAGAGGTGTTGGTAATCTCAGAATTAATTGTGAGTGGTAGAAATGTAAGTGCTTGTTATTGATCTCAGCTAGTGGAAGGCAACTTTGCCATGGTGATTGGTGAAATATATTGATCACCTGCTTTCCCTGTTGCCTATATTTATTCTTGCTGGATTTGATTGCTTGTTATCTATTTGTTTGATGTTGGACAACTTTTAGTCATCTCTAGCACACATTCACTTTTCTGCAGTCTCAAACTGTATTGCCATCATGTCGACTGCTTTTTGCATGTTTCATTTCTTCAGTTTTGCATTCTTAGCTGTAAAATGGCAACTTTGCTGAGGTGATTAGCAAAATATAAAGATTACCTGCTTTCCCTGTTGCCTAGATAATTTTGGCTGGATTTGGTTGCTTGATGGCCAATTCTTTGCTGTTGGTGGCATTAACCTATCACCAGCCTACATCTGACCTTGTATATCTAGTTGATTGGTTTCTACATGGTTTGAAATTCTTTTGCAAATACATCTGTCTTGTTACAGATTAGAGGAGGGCACCTTTGCCGAGGTGATTGGTGAAAAATATTGGTTACCCGCTTTCCTGTAGCCTAAATAGATTTTGGCTGGATTTGCTTGTTTACCAATTGTTTTTTGCTGTTGGTGTACATCTGATTAACCTATCACTAGCCTACATGTGAATTTGCTTGTCCAGTTGATTGGTTTCTACATACTTAAAATTTCCTGTCTATCCTAGTTATAAGATCTATATGAGGGGCAACTTTGCCGAGGTGATTGGTGAAAAATATTGATTACCCGCTTTCCCTGTTGCCTATATCATGCTTGGCTGGATTTGTTAACTCGTTCACCAATGTGTTTGTTGGTGTACATTAACTACTCTAGCCTATATGTAAGATTTCCCGTCTATCCTAGTTATAAGACTTGTAAGAGGGCGACTTTGCCGAGGTAATTGGTGGAATATATTGATTACCCGCTTTCCCTGTTGCCTATATCAATGCTTGGCTTGATTTGTTAACTTGTTCACCAATGTGTTTGTTGGTGTACATCAACAAATTTAGCCTATATGTCATTCTCTTTGTTGAAAGTTTAAGCATATCTGGTTGATTAATTCTGGTTACTGAATTTTCTTGTTAAGTTCGTTAGATTCGTAGTAAGAGAGATCAACAACTCTAGCCTATATGTAAGATTTCCTGTCTATCCTAGTTATAAGAGTTATAAGAGGGCGACTTTGCCGAGGTGATTGGTGAAATATATTGATTACCCGCTTTCCCTGTTGCCTATATCAATGCTTGGCTGGATTTGTTAACTTGTTCACCAATGTGTTTGTTGGTGTACATCAACAAATTTAGCCTATATGTCATACTCTTTGTTGAAAGTTTAAGCATATCTGGTTGATTGAATTCTGGTTACTGAAATTTCTTGTTAAGTTCAATAGATTCCTAGTAAGAGGAGGGTAAATTGTTCTGAAATGTTTGGTGAAGTACATGATTACTGGTTTTTTTCCTGTTGCTTTGATGTTTTTTGGCTGGATTTGGTTGCTTGTTTCCTATTGTGTTTGCTGCTGATTAACTGCTTTTTATATTTTTTTGTTTGATTACATAAAATGTATTTGCTTGGATTTACATAAAATGCATCTTTTTTTTTTTTGTATGTATGACTACATTGCAAGTGCTGATGGTTTTAATTTGGTGGCAGAATAAAGATGTGTCGGATGCTATTCAGAAGGTTGCATCTGCTTATGATTGCAAAATTGTGGAGGGTGTTCTTAGTCACCAGCTGAAGCAGTTTGTGGTTGATGGAAACAAGGTTATCTTAAGTGCTTCCAATCCAGACACAAGAGTCGATGATATTGAATTCGAGGAGAACGAAGTTTATGCAGTAGATATTGTTACAAGCACGGGCGATGGGAAGGTAATTGGTGTTCAAATTTATGGTATTTGGAGTGTGCAACCATCCCCTGCTTCTTTCTAACTTGATCTGTTTATATGTGTAGCCTAAGCTCCTAGATGAGAAAGAGACAACAATTTACAAGAGAGCCGTGGACAAGAATTATCACTTGAAGATGAAAGCTTCCAGATTCATTTTCAGTGAAATCAGCCAGAAGTTCCCTATCATGCCTTTCTCCGCTAGGTTTGTTGGATTTTTGCTGCTGTTATCATAGACATTACTTTTCTTTCGTGTTTTACTCAAATACTAGTGCTCATTGGACGACGCTGCAGAGCCTTAGAAGAGAAAAGAGCTAGGTTGGGACTGGTGGAATGTGTAAATCATGATCTTCTCCAGCCTTACCCTGTTCTTCATGAGAAGCCTGGTAAGGAATCTGTAAAAGCTTATCTAGTTATTATCCCATTTTTTTTAGGGTTGGATATTTACTAATCTCAAACGTGGTTTGTTTACAGGTGATTATGTGGCTCATATCAAGTTCACAGTTTTGTTGATGCCTAATGGTTCGGATAGGATAACATCACATCCTCTTCAGGAGTTGCAAGCTACGAAGGTGATTGATGATCCTGAAATTAAGGCATGGTTAGCTTTGGGTACCAAGACAAAGAAGAAGGGTGGAGGGAAGAAGAAGAAAGGTAAAAACTTTTTTTGCTGATGTATGGATGGAGCTGAAGATTGCAATATTTTGGTGCTTTTGCCTAATCTATTTTTCATTAACAGGCAAGAAAGCCGACAAAACGGTGGATGCTGCTGGTGCTGAAGCTGAGGCAGAACCGATGGACGAAACAACAGAGGCTGCGTCCCAACCCTAAAAAATTGTTATGATTTTGGGTCGATTCTGTTCAGTTTTGTTACACCACCCCTGTTGCAACTTACTGTATCTGTGGTTGGTTTATGAGAATTCCAGTATAGTGGCTAGACTTTTGGGTCCCTGTTGAATATTTACCTGCATGAAAATGGCATATCCTCATGACACCCAAGTTCCTGTACTGCCTTTTGCCCTCACTGTACTAATGTTAATTTAACTTTAGAGAGTTGCCCATTTGAGTGTTAAAACGTAATGTAGCCTCATTATCTTGATCCATGTATGAAGCTCTTGATATGAAATTTGAGTCTAGTGATGATTGATAAACCCTAGACGGTGATAAATTGATAAACCCTAGACGGTGATAATGGCTCTGCTAGTTTCAGATTATTGAACCTCTGCATCATCGTTAGTAAAATATGGTACGGGAAAGTTACGTATAAAATGCGTACGGGTATTATACTTCATCTCTAAGCTAAAATTACGTTTAATAGTACGTTAATAGTCATAAATATATAAAAATAATTGTTTTATAAATAAATAAATATATAGATAATATTAAAGTTAACAATTATAAAATATGGATAATAAACGTGTTATACGGATTTTATAAGTGTTTAGTATGGGAGCCATCAAATGAACGGGGAAAAATGAAACGGCTTGACAATAATACGGATACGGAAGTTTTAAACGGACAAAGTACGTATGGATACATATACGTGTATTAAATGGAGTATTTACTAACTATACTATGCACCACCGGTTAATGGATTGGAAAGACCGCCAGCCACCTCCTCTCTTCTATTGTTGTTGTCGGAGTTCCTCCCAAGTGGGCGGAAGAAGGTTATAAAAAAAAGTAGGAGGAAGAACGAAGAAGACGCGGCCACACTGGTCCTTCTGTTGGCATCGAGTAGGAGGAAGTACAAAAAGTTTTCAGGTATATATTTACTGTTACCATTTCTACAGATACTTGTAAATATATTAATTGCCATTAGGGCTTTGCAGCAAAAGCATCGTATCTTACACAAATGACAAAACAACTTTCAGTACTTGATCAAATGGCAAGGAGAATGATCGTTGAGAGTAGTTAGGACCACACTATTCGAGTGCATTCTAACCCGCCTAATTGCTCTAATTGGAGGGGCGTACCACACTACCACATTGAACAATTAGGGCAACCATATACACTCACTCGGGCATTGAGTCAGAACAACGTAAAGACACCAATCATCCTCGTTCTTGGCTTTCTAAGAATACTCATGCAAATTGCCACAAGAAGATCTTCTCGCTCAAAGGTTTTTGCCCCAAAATTAAGAGAATTGATCAAGGACACTCAATTTTCATGATAAACATGTCGGGTTAATTGCATGGTTGGTCACTGAGATTACGAAAAACGTTCAAGTTTGGTCACTCGAAATATTTAAATTCATTGGTGGTACTTCAGTTTACTGAAATCGTTCACGTTTGGTCACTCTTCGTCCAACTCCATTAACTTTGGCTGATGTGACAGTCAACTCTTAAAGTTGACCGTTAACTTAGTGATGAGGCAATTAAGAAATAATAAATAAAATAAAATTTTATCTATTTTAATGTCCAACTCATTTTTACCATAAAATAAATAAATAAAATAAAACAAAATTATAAATTTAATTTATTTTTATCCCGCGCTCGTTCCCCAACTCTGTCAAGTCCGTTGCCCGCCCGACGAGAACATTCGCGACGATGCCCGTCGTTAGGGGTGGCAGTTCGGTTTTCGGTTAGCGGCTAACCGGCCGATTTAGCCGATAACCGCTGGTTAGTACCTAACCGAAAACCGAAGGTTAATTACCTCGATCGGTGGTCGGTGGAAGAAAGGTGGTTTTCGGCTAGCCGAGCAACCGAGGGTGATTAACCGCGGTTACCCGACTAACCGAAAATAACCGACCATCCACCCAAAACCCAACCCAAAGCCCAGCCCAGCCTCCTGGCCTTCTCCCTAATTCTTTCTTCTTCATCCTCCTCCAAAGCCCAGCCAACTATCCAAACCCTTCCCTAAGATTTATTTCTTCTTCTTCTTCTTCCATCGCCATCTCCCTCATTCTTTCTTCTTCTTCCGCTCCGACATCGCCATCTCCATCCCCGACGACCCCACGCCTCCCCGCGTCTCCTCGCCATCCCCGTCCTCCGTCGAGCCAGTAGACAGAGCAAAGGCAGTCAGGCGGCGACCCATGGCCCCCACCCCCCGCCCCCTGCAGATCTATCCATCCATCTGCCTTTGCCGCCTCTCCTGCGCCGGAGACGTCGCCGCTCTTGCCGCTCACCTCCCGGCCCTGGCCCGACGTCCGCCTCTGCTTCTCCTCCGTGTCGTCGTTGTGCAGATGTGGTGGGTTTGAGTTTTGAAATGGAGGAAGGCAGGAGAGAGGAGGAGGAAGGGGTCTGGTGGTTTTTTTTTTGGGAGGAAGGGGTCTGGTGAGAGAAGGAAGAAGTGGTACGGGTCTGGTGACTTTTTTTTGGGGGATGGAATGAGAGAGAAGGAGAAAGGAGATAAGGATTGAGTGGTTGTGGTTTTTTGTTTATTTTGTTTATAATAATTTTTAATTAATTTTTTGGAGAGAAGGGGTGTTTTCGGATATGCGGCTAACCGAACCAAAACCGATAACCGAGCGGTCGGTGGTCGGCTAGCCGTGTTTTCCTCCACGGTCGGTTGTCGGCAGCAGCAAGTGGTGGCTCGGTTTAATCGATAACCGAGAAATCGGTTTTCGGTTAAACCGAAACCGACCGACTGCCACCCCTACCCGTCATCGTCTCCCTTGGCCCACCTCGTCGGAGCCCACCAGCAGCCCCTTGACGCCCATGCTCTAGGTCCTCGTCGCCGCCCTCAGGAAAAGAAACCTCCCGCTTCCTTCCGATCCGGTTCATCTCTACCAGGTTGCTCATCGCTCCACGTAGTGTTTCCATTTTGCCGCGTAGTGTTATTATTTAGAACCATTGAATGCGTAGCAAGCCCGCCTCAGTTTAGGCCAATTAAATGCTTGCTAGCTTCGGGCCTTCGGCCGAAGTGTGCGAGCAAGGGAGTCGTTTTTCCTTTTCCAGAACCTAAGAACCAATTATCACAGAGCGAATTAGATAATGCATGCAACAAGAAACAAGTTGTCCCTTTCAACTCATCCGTCAACCACAGTACCACACAACGCATAGCAGTCGGTCCTCTAATGTGATTCTGAATTATTATTATCCTCCTAAAATGGAAAAACTCGAAGAACCCTCTTGAATATGTGATTATTACTCATTTCTTTCCCCCATTTTCCAACTACTGGAGATGATAATTCAGATCAATCTCAGCTCACAGGGCAGAGGAAGAAGATAATTCAGCGGAGCATCAGCGCCACCGAATCGATATTTACAGTGTCATGAACCAGTTACTCCCAATAACTCGAGTTGTTGGGAGAAGGTTATGTTGGATCTTCTACAGGCCCGTGTATGGTGCTTAACCACTTCCTTACACGCCCCCTCAAATGAAAGCCGACTCATGGGCTTCAAGTTTGCACAGGCCCGCCATACCATGTGCTTGAAAGACAACGATTATTATTGGGGGTCGTGAGGACTTGAACACGTGACCTCAAGGACAAACCAGCTCTGATACCATATCAAATATCAAACGGGAATAATAAAGAACACGGTGTTTACGTGGTATCCCCGAAGTGTCGGGACTAGTCCACGGGAGAGAGAAGCCTCTCCTGCTACTGATTTTATTGATTGAGAACTTAGTTAGCCAAGCGGCTGTACATCAGAACATATATATTTAGATACAGTAGCTAGGGTTTTACTATTCCTCAAGGTTTCCATGCGACAGGAGGAAGGCAAAGTTGTCTCCATGCACTGGGCGGACGATGAGGAGGCCACGTCCTGGGCCGAGTGTCTGGGCTGGCCCACGGTTGTCTCGTGTCGGCCCAATATCATGGTATCAGAGCGCTCATTCTAGGGCGCGCTTGAGTCGGCTGTTCTATCATCACCATGAGCGATATCGAAGAGGCGAAGGGCTCGGGTGAGAAGAAAGTCGTCACGTTTCCCGGAGGATCGTCCACTCCGGCAGCAGTCATGGACCCGTCGTCGGTCCTCTATCTCCACCCGTCGGACAGTACGGGGCAACTCCACGTCGGGGAAGTACTCACCCCCACGAATTATGGTGAGTGGGTAGTTGATGACTCGGTATTTGCACATGTTTTCCCCTTTGTTTCTTGATTGTTTGAGCTTGAATTATTGCGTCTTTGGCCTATTTTATGCTAGGTTGTGTTCCTTTGTCCCATTTCAGGTCCTAGCACATAAAGTGAAGCATAGGCGCAAGTTTCAAGTCAATCAGAGATCAATTGACGATTCGAGAGAAGAAACTCGGGCATGACCTGAAGAAGAATGGATTTTTACCTCACTTTATGGACAAATAATTATGCAAGCTTGTTATGAAACGAAAGAGGACGAGACTACGAGCGTCTGGGATCAAACGGCGACTGATTCGGAGTCCGGACGAGGGAGAAACGAAGCATTAAACAGAGGCTGAGCAAGCCACACGGGCAGAGCAGAAAATCCGCACGGCCGTGCAAGGTGAGCTGCACGGCCGTGCGAGTCGTGGCCGTGCGGAAATCACCGAGCCTTCGCACGGGCAACTGGGTGAGCTGCACGGCCGTGCGGCCTGCCCGTGTGAGTCGGGAATTGCTGTTTAAAACCCGATTTTCAGCCAAAGGAAAAGAGAGGGCTGGGTTTTGGATCCCAAACACCCAAGGGACGAACCCTAGAGAGAGAGAGAGCGACTTGGAAACATTCTTGGAGCTATTTTGGAGGATTTCTTCGCCATTGGAGCTCGGGAATCAAGCTTGGAGATGGAGATTGAAGATCTAGATCAGATTTCTGCAGTCTCTCTCTTCTCTATGGAGTAACTTCCCTTCACTTAGGTTTTGAGGAAACCTAGTTCCATGAGTTAGGATCTTTCTTGTATGAAGATTTGGATGCTTTATTGTTTGATTATAATCGATTGAGGCATGATTTATTGAGTCAATTGAATCTTGATCAAATTCTCTTGATTTCTGCTTTAACCTATGATAGATAGAATCTGATTAGGTTGTTAGAGTCCCTTCATTCGATAGTAGGAGATTGGCTATACGAGAGTTAGCCAGTTTACTGCTTTGTATTGGAATCCAATTCCGGTAGTGGTCTTCTGTGTTCATAGCCTCAGCTTTCTATCCTGGTGAAGACTAGTCGTCTGCCGGGTAGTTGGACTGAGAGGGCTTGGTCAGCTTAAGAGATTCCAAGCTAATTTAGGATCTTCCGCAGTTTAATC